CAGAATCTTCAGCAGGATGGCGTTCCTTCTCATACTTCAGCCTCCACACCAAAGTTCCTGAAGCATAGCCTGGCCAGTCACCTGGGGTAAGATGAAGGAGGCATTGAAGATGAATCCAAAGAGTCTTGATGAACTTATTGATGAGTCCTGCAAGAATGCTTTCTTTGCCATTCCAGATGACTATTAATAAGTGATTTGAGTCATTGCAGAGATGTATGGATGCAGTCCTTTAAGCTTATGGGAGTCATACACAATATTCATTTTTTTTCCACAGCAGCATGACTCTATATTCTGTACTGGACATTATTTCTGTTAAGTGACAAAACTTTTGTCTAAGCAAAGTCAGACCTTACTGTCCTAATTAAATAGTTAAAAATCAAGGCATGATATTTTATTTTGGTAAAATTAGTGTAATCTAGAAGCCTTTGATTTTCATATGAGTCACTTCTGATACCAAATGATCAACTAGAAGTTAACTTATTATTAGTTGTTCCTAAAACTTGGATAGGCGACAAGATTTTTGTCAAGTGGTGTATATGTAAAGTGGGAAAAATGGGTTGTGGCCTAATAACCATGGAATCATGTGAGTCTCAAGGTCAACTCAGTGCGATCCACTGCATTATGAGAAATGTAAGTCTACAAAACTCCCAATTGCTTGTATTGACAGATTGTTACATAATGTAGCACTTGTAACTTCAAGCTATATTTATTTACAAGGAAATGCAGTTGTGTAAAGTGTCTGTTAATTACCAAAATGACTGGTCTCCTTTTGATGCATTTATTTGCATTTTGTATTGTATTTTTTTTCCATTCTCCTTTTATCATGTCTTTAATTTGTGTTAATTTATTATCGAATTCGTTAAAGTGGGAACTACCGAACTTGGTTTCTGTGATAGTATATTAAGAATGAGCTTACCTGCACTACAAAACATCATAGTTTTGCTGCTTTGTAAGCACTGGTGTGTTTAGTTTAGGAAATGCCGATGTAATTTGAAATATCTGGTATTTTGGGTACATTAGGTACATGTGTATTTGTTGCCATATTTCTTTGCCAGTGGCAAATAAGGAAGCAATTTAAAAGCTCTCTGCTAGTCAGTCTGCTATAAAGGAAGCAAGTGTTACTTCACTCTCTCACTCGGCTATGGAAATATCTAACACAGAACTCTTTTATAATGCCTAAATGCTCCAAAACTGTTTACAAAATATTACGCTATTGGGGGAAATGTGTAAAAGAAAGGGTTGCTCTGTATAGACTAGCCTGGTCTACAGAGATGCATTTTTCTACAATTGATTTCACATTTTCAATTTTAAATAAAAGACAAACAAAAAAATAAATAAACAAACAAAATTAACAATTTACTTAGTCCAGGGTTTCTGCAGGTTTCACCGAGTCAATTTTAAGCGGTTTTAGGACATTTTTAAGACCATTATGAATTAAAGGTGCAGTAGGCGATTGTCTTCAGAAACATTTTTTTTTTTTTTTTGCTGTGCTGGTTGAAAGTCTCTTCACATTCCAATGGTAATGATTAAAGTAAATGACCTAATGCAGTGGTTCTCAAATTTTTTTCATCAAGTACCACCTCAGAAAAAAATGTGTCTCTCCAAGTACCACCATAATGAGCAATATTAAAATACAGTGGCCTAGTAAGCCCAGTAAAGCAGCTACAGCTCTGCACAGTTCTAAAACTTGGCAGATTAATTCCTATTATTAAGAATATTTATTATTGTCAGCCATTTTAAACATTATAAATAGTCTGAACGTTAACACTGTAGTGTACTGTGCTTATATGTAAAAAAAAAAAAAAAAAAAAAAAAAAACTAACTAACTAAAAATGTCAACATTTAAAATTAAAATGTGCTTTTAAAAAGTTAAAAATGGTAGGTTAATGTTCGTAAAAAGTAAAAAGAAAATTGCTATACTGAAATGTAAAGTATTAATATATAGTAGCCAATTCATGAACACCTGGAAATGTTGCCTGGACATCAGAAATATAGGCTACTTGTTATATAATAAATATTATTAAATGTCATATTTATATATAAATCATTTTTGATAAATTTTGAAATATATTGCGCATATAAATACTGTATGACACATTTGATATCTCCGCGTACCACTAGAAGGAAGCCTGCGTACCACTATTGGTACACGTACCACAGTTTGAGAACCACTGACCTAATGTATTTATATGTATTTTTATATTCTGGGTACGGCATACAACAAAAAAATGTTCATCCAATTAAATATTGTCAGGCTGACAAATAAATCAATTACGACAGGTACTGTATCTCAAACTTTTGTGTCAACTAGTTTAAATGTGTATTTCTTCACTGCCTCTTTACGCAGATAGATACGTTATTTGTGCATACACGTGAAGCATGGCCACCTAAAGTACAGCTGACAGAGAGAGACATCAGGTAAACTCAGCATCAACATGAACTTCTTTCTGAAAGATCAACATGGCCTTGTAACTATGAAAAGAAAGATGGTTTTTGAAAGGGCTTCTGCCAAAACTGCAGAATCGAAACTTTCCTAACTCTTGAATCAATATTGGAGTTACTTGTACGCTGGAGGAAATGACGTTATGCAGTTCAAACCCAAGATCTGAAGGATGACATCATGGCTAAAGTATCTCTTTTAGACAGGCAAGTTTTAAAACTATTTTAGTCATGCAAAGCTTATGTAGACTGTGTTCTTTTTTATAAACGGCTTTATATGCATGGAGGTGTTTTTCAGCCACTGGAAAATCCAGCGAAAAATTGGCTATTTTCAAGATGATAGGGTATCTTTTACAGTATCAATGATATAGTTGGTTAAATAGACCTGAGCATTCATTTAGTCGTTCAAGTGTGAAAAGAGATGCTAACAAGCAATGTACATGAGGATCAACAAGTAAAACAGAAAATGAAAAGTTAGTCGTTGTCTTTTTAACATAAGTGTAATGTAAAACAAGGCCAGAATATTTCTGTTTTTGATGTATTTTGATGTTTTCAGGTATTCTGTCTGATAAGTGTTGTTATTCAACTAATTAAAAATCTTAAGTAAACAGCGATCTTCTGCCTAACCAGCTTTACTGAGGGGAAGTTTGTATTCACACATTTGTACATTTAAATTTATATTTACACATTTGTACATTTTTGAACAGTGACAGCCTGTGACACGCTCCCACTACAACGCTACTTTAGTTGGTCTAAAATAGCATGTAGACATGACTTCATAACAACATTAGCACTATTTCCTTGACTGTGAACAATTCTGTATTTTATAATCATTGGCTGATTATATGATTTCACTATTTAGAATTTGCAAACAAAATTTTTCTGAGATTATATTATTAAGGAGAAAATGGGAATATTTGAATATGAAACCAACTTTACCTCGATGCCAGTTTAGGGGAAATTTTACTCCAGCACTCTGCTGGTCTGTCAACAACTAAGCTGGACAAACTGTCTGCCTCTATGAAGTTTTTCAACAATGGATGACACTATCTGGTGTTATATAAGGTTGTCTATGGTCATCTATTCGGTGCGGGTTCATAACTCAGAGGTGTGGCTTTTAACAGGAGAGAGACGTGCATGTTCAAAGCTGATGTGCTAATGTTAGCATTTTGGCAGATCACCTACTATACCTTAAACTTTCTATTTTATTAACTTATACAGAGTTAAATGCTAAAGATGTTTTCAAATGGCCAGTGGAAAATATTTGTTTTGCACTATTAAAATTAAAATTTTGTTATTTCTTAGCCACCTTTTAAATAATGTGTCAAAACAAGCAAACACATTTTTTCAGCATAACTTTTGTTTAAAAAAAAAACAACTTGTTGTTTTTTTTGGACTGTTGGTTGCATCGATGAGGTAGCCTTACATGGACAAAGGAAAATGAAGATCTGTTCAAAATTATTTAAGACCTAAAAGACCATTGTTTGGCAATAGCATTTCTACAAGTGGTGACGCTACTATCTTAACTACATTTCTCAGTAGCATGACGGTAGCGTCGCTACTTTATAAATCAAATGGCTTTTCTGTAGCGAAGCTACTTGTCAAGTAGTGCAGTAGTGTCCACACAAGCTACATTTACGGTGTCTAGCCGATGAAAGTAAATCCATATAATGGGTAGATTGATGATTTCTTTTTCCTGCTTTACGGCGGTCAACAATAAACTTTGGAAATTACTATGGTATTTACTATTAGTTCACAATAGTTACTAATGATACCACATTATGTAGTGTAATTGATTAATGAAGAGGTTTAAATATATACAATATAATGCTTTTTCCTAAATATTTCCCTTTACTTTAAATTACTATAGTATTTTAAATGTGTAACAGGTAGTTTTATTGGATTGTTTGTTTTTGCTGGTATATACTATTATTTTTTTCTGTTTGTTACAGCATATTATTCGCAGTAAATGACTGAACTGAACATTTCTGTCTCATGTGTTTCATTGGGAGTTTTATTGATCACTAATATATGATTGAGGATTTAAGTTGCTTCGATTTAAAAAATAAAGCTACTTTTTAGCTACTTTTGCCAGGTAGTCAAACTTAGCTTGCTACATTTCCCAAATGGTAGCTTTTAGTGTAGTTAAGCTACATTTCACAAGTAGCTTGCCCAACACTGCCTACAACACCATATTTCAGTGAATGTAAGAATTTAAGGCTTACATTCTATTTTTACATTTAAGACATTTAAAGAATTTAAGACACCCTGTTTGTATAAAACACATTTCATTCTTCTAAACAACCACATGGGTTAACAGTTCTCAATGGGCTAGTTTCAGCTGGCTCAAGTTTCAACTCGTTCCTTCATAAATCTTGGGTGTTTCAAGCATCCTAAAAGCATATTTTAGATAGCGAATGACTTGGCAATGCCACTTCATTTATAAAATAAGGAATGCTAGATATTCCCATGTTTTAGAAAAATGCATCACTTCTTTAAAAGTCTTGGAAACTTCTTAAAAGCTATTTGGAAATAAATGTGATGTAATGGTTTGGACTTACAGCTGTTTCTCTGTCAGAAATGAACACTGTGCATTCTTGGGCTTGCATGAAAGATAAGATGGTGGCCACAGTTTTCCTCAGTAAGACCTCCAGTGACTGCTGCTCCTCAAAGATCAGACTAGCCAGATCCAGCAACACCTGCAAGACCACGCAGAAAATAATCACAGCTTGTAGCACAGTTACTGTTTATTTGATTTTACACTACCTGACAAAAGTCCTGTCACTTATCCAAGATGTCGGAACAACAAATAACAACTTGACTTCTAGTTGATCATTTGGAATAAAAAATTGGGTATATGAAAGGCAAGGGCCGCTAGATTACTTTCATTTTACAAAATAAAAAAAAATTAATTAAAAAAACAAAAATTATGCCTTATTATTTTATAATGTCTTGATTTTTTTTATTATTTATTTAGGGCAGACAGGTCAGACTTTAGTCAGGTTGTATATACTGACTTCTTACAAAGAAACAGCATACCTGGTTTCGCCTGTTCTCTAGCTGTGATGTCTCATAGAGTTGGGCATTGTGTAGCACTATGCCAGAGAAAGCCAGATACGAAGAAAAGTCCTATTTATGTTAAAAAAAACACACACATTATTATAGAAACATGACAGATACTGTCAAACTAACTGTTAAAAACATAAAGTACTCACCTTCTCATCCTGTTCTGTAAAGGTGCTGTTCTCTCCACACTTTTTATTGATCGCTTGAGCTACACCAACAACCTAAAAGCATTGGTGATCAAGTTTTTGATAGTACACCATATAAAGAGATTAGTTGACTTTAAAAAGTTGTAAAAAAAATTGTAAACCCATTGCCTTAAAATTATTCAAATGGACTATGTGCATATTAATTTTATATTTTATTAATTAAGTAAACAGTTAAAAGTTACAATGGTTTTACTCACTTTTTACTTGGGTTCCAATTCCTTTATGGTGTCTCAATGCAAATCGATTAAGTTACTTAATTGTTAATACAATTTTAGGTCAACAGAACATAAAAAATTAAGTTGTACCCAAAAAACCTAAATAAGTAGTTTGAACAAGCAGAAAAGTGAAATTTTTGAGAATAGTTCATCGAAAATAAAAAAATGTTGTCATTATTTACACATCCTTAAGTTGTTCCAATCCAGTTTGAGCTTTATTGTTCTGTTGAACATAAAATTAGATGTTTTGAAGAATGTTGGGAACCTATTGCCATTGACTACCATAGTATTTGTTTTTCTTATGGAAGTCAAAGGTTATAGATTTCCAACATTCCTCAAAATATCTTCTTTTGTTTAGAAAAGAACAATAAAATTATTTGTAACAACTGACATGAGAATAAATGATGACAATTTTAATTTCTGGGTAAACTATCCCTTTGAGGCAATGGGTAAAGCAATTAATCTTTTTTATTGTACAACTTTTAAAACAGTTTACTTTAATCTCTCACCTCATCTCTGTGGTTTTTGATGGGCAAACACAAGATGCTCTGTGTCTTATAGCCTGTAATTTGGTCCACTTCTGCATTAAAGCGTGAATCCTGATAAAGAACAAAATGAAAAAGTTAAATCCTATTTATTTGGTATCCTTAGTTATCCGGAATATCATCAGCAAGACGATCCATTTTAATTTGGTGTATCACATACCTATTGATTAACCTATTGATATTGATGTGAAGGACTAATTAAAGGAAAATGAAGAAATAAAATTTTATTTATTATAACATGTGATTAAGTCAGGCGGCACAGTGGTGCAGTGGGTAGTGCTGTTGCAAGAGGGTCACTGGTTCAAACCTTAGTTGTGTCAGTTAGCATTTCTGTGTGGAGTTTGCATGTTCTCCCTGTGTTGGTGTGGGTTTCCTTCGGGTGCTCCTGATTCCCCTACAGTCCAAAGACATGCGCTCTAGGTCAATTCGGTAAGCTAAATTGTCCGTAGTGTATGTGTGTGAATGAGAGTGAATGGGTGTTTCCCAGTGATGGGTTGCAGCTGGAAGTTCATCCGCTGTGTAAAACATAAGCTGGAAAAATTGGTGGTTCATTCCGCTGTGGCGACCCCTGATTAATGAGGGACTAAGCTGAAAAAAAAAATGAATAAATGAATGAATATGATTAAGTCTCTCAAACCATAGGGTCTTTTTGTATGCCTGATTAGCTTTAGGAGCAGCAAGTGCCTTTCAGACTGAATGTCTATTCTCGTAGTACCATTAGCCTATGAGCATTGTCATGATGTCATTTTCTTCTTCGTTTCTTGTGGCTTTAGTTACATGACATTTCCAGCACAGCTGTGTCCCTGAGCAAAGAAGGCAGATTTCAGATTGTGTTCTCCTGCTGGGTCTTGCAACCACTGAACGACTGCAGTTCTGGACGGATCTCTAAATAAACACGTTATCTAAGACAAATTTGCTTTAATGACAAAATCAAGGGTCAGGACCTATTTTTACTTTATAAATTATACTGTTCTAACATGCCAAAATCATCATGGTGATTACTCTAACAGCTTGAATAGTCTTTAAATCTTTATATAAAACCACAAAACAGAGATTAGATCAGAGTTAACAATTAACCTTGTTTTGAGTTATTTAAGGCTATCTCAAACACATTCTGAAAAATGTGTTACTAAGAGTCTCCCACCCAGTTGTTGTTTTTTCTCTTTTTTCCCCTATTCATATTACTGTAGAACCAGTGGAAGCAAGTTAAACTAGATTACAAAGAGCTAAAAATACTTGCTATCATTATACAAACTGTTGGTTAGCAACTGAATTGCGTAACAACATTTAAATCTAATCAAAGGCCTTAAGAGATATAGCCTATATTGTGTTTCTAGGGAAAGACTTCTTTATTGACTTGGAAGCTATTATAAGGCAGTACATTTTATTTCACTGACGTGCAATAGTGTTTTCTATACACAAGAGAAAAGTAATATTAGAATCTAATTAAGATGTCCATCTGAACTTTATCCACAGTAAACATTGCAAGAAGAAACCCTGATCTAAGGGAAGAATTCCAAATTTGTCTTGTGAGAAGATATTTGAAGAACTAGACCATCTTGTTTTGACACAAATGCCTCAAAACACAAGAAAGAGTGTGTTTTGCAAATTGATGTTTTTTATTGTTTTGTTTTATTACATACTTTTTTAACATGGACAAAAAATGTGGCAGCAAACTAGATTTATTACCATAATAGCTTTGTTTTTGTTAGGGATGTCCATATCAGGTTTTTTTTTTTTCCTTGAGTCAGAGTCATTTGATTTTAAGTATCTAACGATACCGAAACCTGATCCGATACTTCTATGATATGTAAAAAATTAATGAATAAAGAAGAGCTAATCTAATATAAAAACAAATAGCACCTCAACTTAAAATACCTGATAGGCAATCCTAAGTTTACAGAGTACATATCTCACAGTTTGCAATGGCAATGTTGTTGTCATCAACTTTATAATACCTCCAGACCACAGAATTACTCGCGCTTTCCGCTTCAAGCTACTTCCGTGTTCTACTTTGCAGGCATGTAATATATATACACATACATATATTTGAGTCCGGATCAGGATGTAATATTCGATTCCAATTTAGTCTGAAACTGTATGAACCGGCCCAATTTCCGATTATGTGATCGGATCTAGACATTCCTTTTTTGTCATTATGTTGGTCATATACTCACAAAAAATATAAATCTTTATTTTATGCAATTTGTAATTTGGATACTTTATTTTGGTTGTACCCTTTATAGTAATTACCTTTTCTACATTGTTATATTATGGCCTCAAGTAGCGGTCACACTAAACTTTTTACCCTATAGACTTCCATTCATACGAATGAGAACCTCTCTGTACGTAAACGTAAAATATGAACCAATTGTTCACTTTTTTAAATGTCTAATCATCTTGCGTAATCTCGCCCCTTTTGGCAGAGCCGTACAACAGAATTTCACATGCTTAAACTAGTGCAGAGACCCCCAAACTAGTGCCCACGGGCCAAAATTGGCCCATGATAACCTTTGATTTGGCCCTCCAACTCATCTAATGATGGGGAATGGCTTTAACAGAGATTGTATTTTATTTAACATAACTTTTGTTTTTAAAAAAAAGCTAGCTAACTGCTCTTGATGTGTTCATTCCTTTATTAAGATTTTCATGGTAATGTTTATAATCCCCGTTTCGATTAGGGAATCTCCTGAGATAAGTAAGTTATATCTCTAAACTTTAATAATAAACCTATATAAAATGCAGCGCTTCCCACCTGCAGTTGCAATGACTTCTGGGACTTTCAGAGTGAGTTCGGTGCACAAGTTTGCATGTATGCGTCTTCGATATCAAGAACACATCCGGGAAGTTTCATGCTTTCTTTGTTCTTGCGTTCTTGAGCCTTGGAACTAAACTTTGGCAGTAGATTATGACATTACATGAGAACACGAGGATGCAAGAACGCTAAGGAATGCATATTGAGAAACAGCCAAGGTCCCACCATTAACAGTGCATGTCAGAGTAGAAATCAAGCCATGAAGTCTACGTTTCAATTTATACAAATGCCTCAAAATATGAATTATTATTATTATTTTTTACTAAATACTTTTTTTTTTTTAAATGGTAAATTAAGGGTAAATAATTGGTTAGCACTCTCACTTGTGCAGACCAGGATGAATTTCTATGTGGAGTTTGCAGGTTCTCCTCATGTTTGTGTGAGTTTCCTCTAGGTATTGCAGTTTCACCCACAGTAAAAAGACATGCAGTACAGGTGAATTGGGTAAACAAAATTAGCTGTATGTGTGAATGAGAGAGTGCATAGATGTCTCCCAGTGGAAGGGGCCCTAAAAAATATGACAGAGTAACTGGTGCTTCATTTCGCAGTGGCAAATCCTGATAAATCAGCATTTATAATATAGGATTTAAATTGGAGTAGCAAACATTATTATTACCAGCTTTGTTTCTTTATCATTTTGGTCATATATGCACAAATGATTTCTATTTATTTTACGAAATGTGTAATTTTCATTACATTATTTTTGTAATTTGGTTGCTTCATTTTAGTACAGTGTGTTCGAAAAGACTTTTTGTATTATTATCATTATTATTATTATTATTATTATTATTATTATTATTATTATTATTATTATTTTAAGGAAAATAACTCAATTTATAACATAACATCAATTTAGGAATAAAGGTTGTAACATAACAAAACATGGAACAAGTAAAGCACTGTGAATACTGTCCAAGCTGTGTAAGTTTCAGAGGATTAATAGACAGTTATATTAGGGCAAGTGGAATAAGTTGACATGTACTTGTCAAGTTAATTACAGATTATCTGTTGAGGGACATTTCAAATAAAGTGTGTTAAAAATAAGTTTCACCTGTAAATCAGCATACTGTCATCTTAAAAACATTTCAAGAATTAGATGCTGTGTATCCAGTGAGCGCTTAGAGAAACTTGCTCATGCTTTTGTCACCAGTAGGATGGATTACTGTAATGGACTCCTTACTGACTCTCCCATAAAGGCAGTCAGACTGTTGCAGCTCATCCAGAACGGTGCAGCCAGGATTCTGGCCAGTCCTCCAAACCACCTGTCCTCAGGTCTTTACACTGGCACCCAGTTACATTCAGAAAAAACTTTAAAGTATTACTACTTGTCTATAACTCACTAAATGGTTTAGGACGGATCACGCAGATCTTTAGAATCAAATAATTGAGAAATTCCAAGAGTCCAGTCAAAACTGTCACGGTATGAGGGTGATGAAGAGGGGGCGAGGACCCAAATGCAGGGAATGAAGAGTTTAATGAAAAATAAAACAAAAACAAAACTCAAATCTCCCCACGTGGGGAAAAACACAACATCATATTACACACTCAACTAGACTAGGTCTGGAACTTGACAAGACAATACTTAAACCACTGTTGTAGACTAGAAATCAGCAGATACAACAGTGAAGGGAACAATCAACAACGGACCAGCACGGAACAGAGCACACTATGAGAATAAATAGGAAAGACAAACCAATAAACAGACAGGCGGACAGGTGAAAATAATAATTACAAACAAGGTAACAAGGTGGGTGGGACAAGACAATAGACGGGAGAGCGCATGACACAGAGAGACAATACAAGCCATGCGCTCACACAACACAACACTGAAGCACACGACAAAAGCACGTGACCACAATGTAAACACCGAGCCACGTGCTTTGACAAAAGACGCAAGACACGAGCACACGATGAATGAAAGCACTCACCGTGCGCACACACACGCAGCATGCATGCTTCATCCCAGCGCCGACCAAAACCGAAACCAACAAGACTGAGACGCTGGGAATGAAACACCACGCTGCTGACAAACGAAAACACAAACACGAGTACAAGAGCGCACGCGTCTGAGTGACGCATAGCGCGCGCGCGGCCGCGTCAAGCAGGAGCGCGCACACTCTACGTACACCCACGACGGCGCGCGCTCACACAGAGACAGAAACAGGACCCGACATGAGAAGTGTCAGAGCTCTGCCACCAAAACAAGAATTTACAAGACCAAAGTGGCAGAACCCTGACACTAGCCCCCCCCAAAAGGGACGCCACCTGGCGTCCCTAAAGGGAACATCCAACAAGGTACAAGACAGACAAGAAACACTAGAAGACAACAAAACAGGCAACATCAACAGACACAAGACAGGGGGGTGAACAGGCAAGACAACATGAAGGGAGGGAGGGAGGGAAGCCAAGCCAGACCCAACAAGACAAACAAGGGAGGGATGGGAGGGCAAAACCAGGGAGGATCAGGAGGGACAGTCCAGGACAGGTGCAATGGGTCAGGGACCCCGGCAGGGAACCAGGGTGGAGCCGGAGGATCAGTCCAGGGTGGCAGAGGCATGCTCCAAGGTGGAGCAGGTGGGACAACCCAAGGAGGATCGTCCTGGGATAGCAAGGCAGGAGGCCTGTAGGGAGCTGGCTGGGATGAAGGCCTGTGGGGAGCCGGCTGGTCTAGAGGCGACTTAACTAAAGCCGGCGGGGCTGAAGACCAGAGGGGAGCCGGCGGGGCTGAAGACCAGAGGGGAGCCGGCGGGGCTAGGAGCCGGGCTGGGGCCGGCAGGAAAAAGAGCCGGGCTGGGGCCGGCAGGGCAAGACGTCTGGTTGGGGCCGGCAGGGCAAGGAGCCGGGCTGAGACCGGCAGGGCTAGACGTCTGGTAGGTTCCGGCAGGGCAAGGAGCCGGGCTGAGACCGGCAGGGCTAGACGTCTGGTAGGTGCCGGCAGGGAAAGACGTCTGGTAGGTGCCGGCAGGGCAAGGTGCCGGGCTGGAGCCGGCTGGGCAAGACGTCTGGGTGGTGCCGGCAGGGCAAGGAGCCGGGCTGGGGCCGGCAGGGCTTGACGTCTGGGTTGTGCCGGCAGGGAAAGGAGCCGGGCTGAAGCCGGCAGGGAAAGGAGCCGGGCTGGGGCCAGCTGGGCAAGACGTCTGGGTGGCGCCGGCAGGGCAAGACGTCTGGGTGGCGCCGGCAGGGCAAGACGTCTGGGTGGCGCCGGCAGGGCAAGACGTCTGGGTGGCGCCGGCAGGGCAAGACGTCTGGGTGGCGCCGGCAGGGCAAGGAGCCGGGCTGGTGCCGGCAGGGCTAGACGTCTGGTTGATGCCGGCAGAGCAAGGAGCCGGGCTGGGGCCGGCAGGGCAAGACGTCTGGGTGGCGCCGGCAGGGCAAGGAGCTGGGCTGGTGCCGACACTGGAGGGCGCTCAGGGGCTGGAGCCGACTCTGGAGGGCGCTCAGGGGCTGGAGCCGACACTGGAGGGCGCTCAGGGGCTGGAGCCGACACTGGAGGGCGCTCTGGGGCTGGAGCCGACACTGGAGGGCGCTCTGGGGCTGGAGCCGACACTGGAGGGCGCTCTGGGGCTGGAGCCGACACTGGAGGGCGCTCTGGGGCTGGAGCCGACACTGGAGGGCGCTCTGGGGCTGGAGCCGACACTGGAGGGCGCTCTGGGGCTGGAGCCGACACTGGAGGGCGCTCTGGGGCTGGAGCCGACACTGGAGGGCGCTCTGGGGCTGGAGCCGACACTGGAGGGCGCTCTGGGGCTGGAGCCGACACTGCAGCAGAGGTCTTCCTCTTTAACCTCCGCTTCTGAGTGCGGGTCAGCCCTTGAGGGCTGGACATGGGCTGGGAGGCGGCACTGGTGGTGGTGGTGCGAGGGATCCTCTCCTCCTGAAGGATCCCTTTCTCCTGCTGCTGAACCATGTGCTCTATAAATTGCTGGTATGACCAGCCCACCATTCTCTGGATTTGCAGAGGAAGAAGGGGCTTGTCCAGAGCAAAATTTAGGTGGGTCATAAGCAGCCAGTCATTAAAATTCAGCCCCTCAGCTGTCTTACGGAATTTCTCCGCAAACTCCTCCAAATTCAAGCCACATTGCTTCAGCGACTGCAAATGCAGCAACTTAGAAATGCGGCTAGCGAAGGAGCCATCTTCATTCCGCTGGGTCCTCATTCTGGCTGGTCCGTTCTGTCACGGTATGAGGGTGATGAAGAGGGGGCGAGGACCCAAATGCAGGGAATGAAGAGTTTAATGAAAAATAAAACAAAAACAAAACTCAAATCTCCCCACGTGGGGAAAAACACAACATCATATTACACACTCAACTAGACTAGGTCTGGAACTTGACAAGACAATACTTAAACCACTGTTGTAGACTAGAAATCAGCAGATACAACAGTGAAGGGAACAATCAACAACGGACCAGCACGGAACAGAGCACACTATGAGAATAAATAGGAAAGACAAACCAATAAACAGACAGGCGGACAGGTGAAAATAATAATTACAAACAAGGTAACAAGGTGGGTGGGACAAGACAATAGACGGGAGAGCGCATGACACAGAGAGACAATACAAGCCATGCGCTCACACAACACAACACTGAAGCACACGACAAAAGCACGTGACCACAATGTAAACACCAAGTGTGCCGCAAGCCTACGTTTGAGTGAAGGTTTCGGCCGTTAGATCGCCCCCTGGGGGCTGGCTGCAGTACAAGTCATAAAGCCCGCCTCCTCCGTGTTAATGAAGGAGACTTGAGCCCAAATAAAAAAAAATATTACACTTGCAATAAAATGTCCCGAAAGATAGTTCTGGTCGATTAAGGCACTGGTTATTGTGCTGAAATAGGTGCAGATCTTCATTTTTGTAAACAGTTTGTTTTTAGCAGTAATTTAATGCTGGGCGTGTCATCGTGATACACAGCTGTGATTGACAGTTTCTCAAAGCGCGGCGTCTGAGCTTCGGCAGGAGACTGAAGTAGACTGAAATGTTATTATTCGATTTCTGTGTTATTTTACCATGACAAAATGAGTTCAGCAGTAAACTATAGTTTCTGACATACATGATCCTGGTGGAACACTGTTTATTCGCTAAGTTCAGGGCTTTTTTTCGGGCTTTATTAGTTTGCTGATACACGCCTAGCCACCCAGATAGCAAAACACAGTTCCGGCTAGATTCTCGCCTGCCGGAGACTTATCTCTTAGAGCGCAGACTGACTAACGTTACCTCTGCTGGACCTACTCCGGATGCCTGGACTCACTGCCCGATTCCAGTCCGAGTCAATCGAGCCAGATGCGGCGGCCGAGCGAGCCGGCGCTGCCGCATGCGAGCCGGAATCAGCCCGCGACGCCGCGAGTAAGTTATGCGCTGCGGCCTGGAGCTGGCGCGATTGAATATATAAAACCCTCATATTTGTTAACGTTATTACATCCATTTGTGTTGATATGACAGCAAACGCATGCTGAGAAGTTCGGGGGGCGTAGTTGATTTTACATAAAGCGTTTGATTGGAAGCTCGACTCTGCTCATTTTCGCGGCTCCTCCTCTGGCTCCATCAGACAATCCTTCTGCGCATGTCTGGCTCCAATTTCAGCAGTCTTTTGCGACAGTTTGTGCCCGTCAAGCAGGCGTTTTGCCCTCAAGGCGTTCAATGGGAAAAAGGGCTGTCGCGTCGTCCATATTTTTTACAGTCATTGGTAAACACCGAGCCACGTGCTTTGACAAAAGACGCAAGACACGAGCACACGATGAATGAAAGCACTCACCGTGCGCACACACACGCAGCGTGCATGCTTCATCCCAGCGCCGACCAAAACCGAAACCAACAAGACTGAGACGCTGGGAATGAAACACCACGCTGCTGACAAACGAAAACACAAACACGAGTACAAGAGCGCACGCGTCTGAGTGACGCAGAGCGCGCGCGCGGCCGCGTCAAGCAGGAGCGCGCACACTCTACGTACACCCACGACGGCGCGCGCTCACACAGAGACAGAAACAGGACCCGACATGAGAAGTGTCAGAGCTCTGCCACCAAAACAAGAATTTACAGGACCAAAGTGGCAGAACCCTGACAAAAACAGGGTGAATTGGCCTACAGCTACTAACAGCACCCCCCACTGCTGAAATCAGCTTCCAGAAATGATCAGATGTGCTCTTACATTAAGCACATTCAAATCAAGACTGAAAACACATCAGTTGAGCTGTGCCTTTACTGAATGAGCACTGTGCTACGTCCCACAGATCGCACTATTCTTTTCCTTTTCATTCTTTTAAAACTGTTTTAACACATTTTAATCTTTTTTTAATCTTGTTTTTTATTCTTTGTTGTTTTTATTTTTCCTAGTATTTTTTCTTTTGTTCCTGTTTGTGAAAAGCACTTCAAATTACCATTGTGTATGAAATGTGCTATATATATAAACTTGCCTTGCCTAAGTTATTTATTGAAAATTTTTGTAGAATGTAAAAGTTAAGTGATATTTTTCTGTCAACAAACAGCCAATGCAATGACAAAAAAACCTCACCTCATATGCATTCTTGATGTTGAGAGGCTGTCCAGTGGCTGCAACGTATCCCACAATTCCTTTGTTCCATTCGAGGCGGATGCCACTGTTTGAAGACTCCTCAAGAGTAGATCCTTCTGCTACATCGAAAAGCCTGCTAACTAAGAACTTTCTGTTTGAACTGTCCTCCCCAACCAAGAACAACGAGTAGCGATCTGCAGCTATCAGCTCATGGGTATGCAAAAAGATCTTGTGGCAGAGGGCAGTAAGGTCCAAATGACTTGAAACATCACGTACAAGCTCCAACAGACGAGCACATCGGTCCCCATTACCACGATCTCTAATACCTCCACCCTCATCTGTCCCATTGTCTGAGCCTGGCCGCTGGGAAGGAGGAAGCGGCATCTGCACCCTTTCTGTGTCACTCAGGAAAGTGAAGGAACCCTCTGCGTCTTTCACGACTATGGGGCGAAGCGGCCTGTCAAACTCAGATGCAGAGATCTTTCGTGTTGGGGTGGATGGAGCTGGACTTGAAGATGGCACCACGTCAGTTGGACCAAGAGAATGGACTGCTGTTACAGGTTCTGGCACAGCTTTTGATGGTTCCCTAGATGGTTGAATGGAGTGTACACGCTCAGCAAACCAGGCATTGACCATTTCCCTTTAAAAAAAAAAAAAAAAAGAGTTGAATACGACAAAAAATATGACAAATTACTTCCCTTGATTTGAAACAAAACAAAACAAAAGTTGATTCCCAGCATCCACCCAGAATTTAATGACAGCTTAATGCCTTTTACATTTGCAGTATACCTAAAGCCCCATTTAGACTACATGAGTTGTACTGTTGGTTATAACTAGTGTTGCACGATATTGACAAAATCAGATTTTTGCTGCAATATTTTGTTTGTCTGTGATCATATGTTGCAATTTGAATAAAAATTAATCGGATGATTTGAATAGCTTTTTTTGGAAATATTTTAATAAATTACATTGACTGGTGTGATACAAGTCTTTTTATATGCAGTGTGTAACCCCGCCAGTCCTATACCACCTAACCCGCTCCGAGCTGGTATCGAACTGGCGACCTTTTGCATGTGAGTCGGTTGCTCTACCAAGGAGGCTAAAAACCATGGCCTCCAGCACTGTTACCCTCACCCCCCTAACCCTCACTCATATCCGGGTCATGGCACCAACGTAACCCCGCCAGTCCCACACCACACAACCCGCATCCTATGTGACGTTCTGCATAGGAGTTGGTTCCTCTACCAAGGAGGCTCTGTTACAAGTGCATCTGCATAAAATATAATAAAATTAAAAGCATATATAAATACGAAATATAAAAATTAAACAGTCCTTTAGGCTTTTTGGGGAGTCTAACAGTACTCAAATACATTTTTTTTATTTATATCTTTATAGTTTAATATTTAATAAACAATCTAATTCTCCTGCAATGTGACTATAAATACATTGTGATATGGATGCTCAAACATTATATATTGTTCAACCCTAATTACAACAGTCACTGTGTCAGATGATGCAATTTGTTTTGATAAAATCTTGATGTTCGGCGCAGTGGGCGCACTGTTGCCTCACAGCAAGAAGGTTTCTGGTTCGAGCCTCGGCTGGGTCAGTTGGCATTTCTGTGTGGAGTTTGCATGTTCTTTCTTCTATTTCATGTTTCATCTGGCCATTTTAAGCTTGTACAAATGATATTCAGTGTTCCTATTGGTCAACATCATCCATGTGAACAACAGGAAAAAGATTAAACAAGCTTGACCAGGGGTATCCAAACTCGGCCCTAGAGGGTTTAGCTCCAACCCTAATTAAACATAAGCATTTAGGGATACTCCTTTACTTTAATAATAAACCTATATAAAATGCTGCACTTCCCACCTCTATCCACTAGGGTTGTAACAATATACCGGTATGACGGTTTACCACGATTTGAACGTGCACGATTATCATACCATGAACAATTGCATATCAACGGTTTTAACCCTTAAAGACCGAGACAGCCGCCCGCGGCTAAAAATAAGTATTGCTCTTAAATGTTTGATAACTTTTGATCCGCTGATCCGATTCATACAATTCAAAGATTGGCATAAAGAAGAGAATCTCAGCTTTATGTTATGTATCACATAACATTCGCGGACTTTCAGAGGCTCCGGAATCAGTGTGGTTACGTCATCAACATTTGACAACGCTGATTTGACAAAGAAACGCTCGTCACTGTGTCTCTGGACAAATCAGACATGATACATTGATGCATTGTCCCTCCTCCATGCCCAGATTGGTTCAAACTCGCTATATCACAACCAATAAGCATAGGTTTCGCTTTTGTTTGTGGACCAAGCTTTTTGAACAACACGGAATGAGAGATAGGCATACATTTATGCGCGGCTAAATAAAACGCAAAAAAAAAAAGTTTTGCATGAAATAATTCTCATACTAAGTACTTTTGCATGCACAGCAGCACAGAAACATGACAAAACAGTGACACAGCAAAGACGAACTGCTGCTCTTGCTGTTTTCAAAAGACGCAAATGAAGATGCAGCTGTTTGTCTGCATTGCAGACAACCATATCCAAATCCATAGACAACCATATCCATGCTGGCACATAAAACCTAGGGATGTTCCATATTGAATCTAGTTTCGTTATGTAACTATTTATAGTATAGTAAATATTTATATCTATTTTTTACTGAGGATTTGCACCATGTTTATTTGGACTTTATTTGGACTTTGACACATTATTTATTATTTTCTTATTTTTTTATTTGTTCATTGTAAGTGGTGTTGTTTATAGTAACTAAAAATATATTATTTGGAAAAAGTCAAATTTGCTTCACTGTTCTATTATTTTGTAACATTTGTAACATACCGTATACCGCGAAACCGTCAAACCGTGGTATTGTTTTAGACGATTATCATACCGTGAAAATTCATACCGTTACAACCCTACTATCCACAATGACTTCTGGGACTTCTAGAGCGAGGTCGGCGCTCAAGTCTGCAACGGTGGATCCTTGATGCCAAGAACACATCCTGGAACTTTTCATGCAATTGAAATCTAAACAGATCTCAACTTGTTAAGTCAGGAAATGGTCTACGAACTGGGATTCGAGACTACCACAATGTGGGACCTGCTTTGATTAAATAGTGTAAATTTATTTCCAGCAGGCACACAATATCATAAGACATTAATATTATGCTAGATTTAGGTTGTGATGTCGGGTGACCAAAATTCAATGTGTAGCCAGCATCAAATGACATTGATGTTTGGTTGATTTTAGGTTGTTTTGGAAAGTGACCAAAATTCCAAACCCAATCAGACACACCTGGGCAAGCTAATCAAGCTCTTACTAGGCTTTCTAGAAACATACATGCAGGTGTTTTAAGGTAAGCAGGAGGACACAGTTGATCTAGTAGTTTCTAGTAGTGATAACCACCTTAATTAGTTGGATCAGCTGTGTTTGATTAGGGTTAGGGCATCAGGATTAGGATTAGGGCAAAACTGTGCAGAACTGCAGCCCTCGAGGAATTGAGTTTGAAACCAATGATTTAAACCAATGTCATATTGACGTCAAATACTGACTTATTTGTCAGGTATGGAAACCAATATCCAAAGAATGATAGACGTCATAGTGGTAATTTTTTTTTTTTTTTTTTGATTTTTGGTTGTTTTTAAGTTGCATTGTAAAGTGACTAAAATCTAACGTCTGGCCGATGTTGGACACTGATGTTGGTCTGACAATGGGTTCTGACATCAACCCAATTTTATTTGCATCCATAATGCAATGTCCCCCTTCGCTGGTGGGTACAACATCAATCTGATGACATGTTAATGTCCTGTGCCTACTGGGTTGATTATACATCATATATTTGTAAATGCAGTAGCGATGGATTGATTCAGTTTTAAAAACTGCTCAACTGTCTCATTTTCTCTCTTATTTAGCCACAGATTTTTAAAAGCCAGGTCTATTTAATGTTTTAATGTGTTTGCTGAAATATATATAATAATCTTTTACGAAGGTTCTATGGTCAATTCAGTACGCCTTCATTAAATACTAAATGGGACATTCAGATTGGCAGCTCAACTAAACCCTTGGAGTCAATACGAACCCGCAATCATAACATTAGATGGTGAATTATTTCCAAACCTGTCAAAACAGCACTGCATAGTGGTTTTTATTAAATGCAAGCTTTAAAATATCCTATGGCTATAACAAATCACTTCAATGAAATGTTCATCATCTGGGGAGGAAATTCAAACTTCACCACTGTCTCCATAGACTCGACCTAAATTGTCCTTGGCTGAAACTGTTTAAATAAATAACATTCACTTTGAAGAGACAACATCCAGCCCTTTCCTAAACATTCAAGTTTCTCATATTAAGCAGCCTTAATTTATCTCAGCCTATCAGAAGTGGGAATTTGCCTGAGCTGTTTTTCAGTGGTCCAGAAATAATAACATTAGTAAAATGTGATACAGTTAAATAACTGATTCAAGTCAAGTATTATTTTAAGTTTGCTATATTAGGTTTTATTATTATAAGTTTATATATATTATATAGGCCCTATTCAGGCCCGGATTGGCTAATCGGGAGGACCGGAAGAATACCCGGTGGGCCAGTCATGTTTTTTTGGCCGCGAGGGCCAGCGTCTCTAGCTGCTTGCACTCCCAGCATTCCCATTTTTTTATTTATTTATTCATTTGACCATAGCCTCACTCTTTTTATTCATCATTGCCGCAGCTCTGCTCTTTTTATTTATTTTCTCACAGCCCATCGAGCAAAATGCAGCCTGCAGGTTAATGATGATGTAACTATCATTCGACCCCAAACAGCGGCATCTTAGTAAATATAAGAATTTGAATAATTAATGTTAATGAATATTACAACTGCTCAATGAAAATCAGATGATTCACTACATTAATAAATCTGACATAACTTGATCAGAAACCTAAAAAGGGTAGAAAAAGATTAAGTCATCAATAGAATATTTATTTTTTATTCCAAACACACCAGTGCTACAGCGTTGTTGTGGTTCAGTGGTCAGCATGTTGCGTTATGATGCTGCCGACCTAAGTTTGAACCTCACCTGAGTAATTATTATTATTATTATTATTATTTTTATTTTTTTTTTTTTATTGTTAAGACATAATACCGTTAGGGTTGTTGAACATGTAAAGTTCTAAAGCAGCTGTTTTCTTGAAACGGAGTCCCACTCCGGCCCTGGCCCTATTCTAGTTTTACTTCACTTAATTACGAAAACAGAAAACTTATTTTAAGCTTTTGAACGATTTATATCTCTTGCTATGGCGTTCTGATTGCACAGGTTGAGAATTTCTAGTTTTGTTTTTGAAAACAACTGATAATTACTATAAGTAAGTAAGTAAGTAAATAAACAAATAAATAAATAAATAAATAAATAAATAAATAAATAAATAAAAAGGTATATACATGCATTAGTCAAGGCCCGGTAAAAGATTCTTATGGTATGATAACATTGGATAAAAAAAAAATACGGTTTCACGTAGAGCTGGGCGATAATAATAATTATCACAATATATATTGTTTCGATAAAACTATAATGACAGTTCGATAAGTGCTCGATAATATTTATGCACTATGCGTAACAGTCTTTACAAACTATTCGCAGCACTGATAGTATTGTTAGATTACCACGGAAGAAAAAACTCAGTCTGAAGGATGAGAGAGCTAAGAAACTCTTTGAGTGAATGGAGAGGCTTCCTGCATGTCTCGCCGTGATGCACGATTTACAAAATGAGAATCTGCATTGGCCTATTCGTGCCAGTCTGTGAGATAAAATTGGTTAAAGCTAGTTAAAACACCTGAAGAGAAATTGATGACTAAATAAATTGTCAGACAGCTAAAACATTTCACAAAATGTGTTAAATCAGCTGCACAAAGAGATCTGCATGCTGAAAATCCTTTAAAATTGATAGCTAAAAAGATTTGACATTTATTGTGATAATTATTGATATCGACGACTGATATAAAAAAAAAAATGATCGTGACTATTATTTTTTTTGCCATATCGCCCAGCCTTAGTTTCACGGTTTGTGATTACTGCCCTAAAATTAGCTTTTTTTTAAATGACTGGGTGAAAAACAAAAAAAATTTTCCACTTTGAACACAATATATTTTATTTTGAGAAACTTTTATAATATTTTGGAGCAATAAACATGTCAGGCTGAATAATTCAAATGAATAATTATAAAATGAATGAACTTCTGCTGTCTTCATTTGTTTCCAAAACACTGATGTCTTTACAATTTAAAACAGCATCTTTGGAACTGAGGTAAAGTTGGTTTTATATTTGCACATTTAGACTTTCTCCTTAATATAATTTTAGAAAAGTATTATTGCCATTTCTAAATAGTGAAGGGTGATGCAGTGGCACAGTAGGTAGTGCTGTCGCCTCACCGCAAGAATGTCGCTGGCTAGAGCCTCGACTGGGTAAGTTGGCATTTCTGTGTGGAGTTTGCATGTTCTCCCTGCGTTTGCGTGGGTCTCCTCCGGGTGCTCCGGTTTCCCCCACAGTCCAAAAAATGAGGTACAGGTGAATTGGGTAGGCTAAATTGTCCATAGTGAATGAGTGTGTGCGGATGTTTCCCAGAAATGGGTTATGGCTGAAAGGGCATTTGCTACGTAAAACAAATGCTGTATAAGTTGGCGGTTCATTCCGCTTTGGCGACCCCAGATTAATAAAGCGACTAATAAATCTAATAAAACTAATAAAACTAATAGAAAATGAATGAATAAATAGTGAAATTACTAATTAATTACTGAATTAATTAGTCATATTAGCAGCCAGTGAATATCAAAGTACAACATTGTTCACAGTCAAACAAATAGTGCTTTGTTTTAACAAACAAATAGTAATTGTTTTCAAGTCATATTTACATATTATTTCAGACCCTATATTCAAATAAGCAAAGTAAATAATGAAGGGAACGTTAAATAAAGGAATGTGCGATAATAAAACCAACTGTACATCAATATCTTTGGATATCTTTTCTACTGGAGATACTGTTGTCATAAAAAAAGTTTAAAATTTTAAAGTTTAAAATCTTAGACATACATTAGGAATGGTATAACACAAAATTTTGGCAGTTTTAAAACCTTGACTTTTCCAAACCACGATATACCTCGAAAACGGTTATCCTCCCATGCCAAAAATGCATAGAAATTTTAGTTTTCTTTTTTTTTTTTTTTTTTTTTTTTACTTAATGCTGGTTCTACACAGCCAATAGAATGTAGTTTTGTGTAGTTTGTTTGTTTTATCAACATTCTCAAGAAATTAACATACACAACTTTTTATGTTTTGGCAAATTTGTAGGAAACCTGTATTTGTACAATTTAATATTATACAACTGTTTTTACTCAGCTTGAACACGTAAATGCAGGTGTTTTAATTTATCTGAATGGAGAATGTCAAGGCGACTTATATTTTTTAAGTGCATAACATTAAAATCTATTTAGCCTATACAAATCACAACTTTATATTTAAGTATAATAGGATTTACAAAACAGAGTAGTAGCTATATTTAGACAAAGCTGCATATATCAACGACGAACATAACAAAAACACAAAATTAGCTACATTGTAAAATGGTAAACAAAACAAATAGCAGCATATTGTCTGAACACGAGTTCAAAATTGTTGGTTATCGAAGTTTACAAGGAAAATACAGTACATATTATTGACACTCTCCTTTACCTGCTATTTAAAATTCGGAACATAAGTTGAACTGACAGGACATTGGCTAGAACCAAATAAACAAACCCATCAACGTCTAGTTGTTTTGCTGGAGCACGCGAGTACTGGTGTACATACAGTACTCATTACAAGACTTCTTGTCATTAAACTGCGACTTAACTTACCGGGAAGCCTTGCGTACAAAGTAAGAATGTGCGAACTCTAGGTTGTCGTCAAGCCAAGCCTCCATCATCCTTTCACTATCGGAAGGATAGACCTCCATTCCGCCTAGAGATCAGCCGGTGAATATCATCCGCCTGCACGCTTCGGATGTTCAGTCACAAACACATTTCCACCACAACCGGCCAGCAGAGTCTACACTGACTGCTCTCTCTCTCTCTCTCTCTCTCTCTCTCTCTCTCTCTCTCTCTCTCTCTCTCTCTCTCTCTCTCTCTCTCTCTCTCTCTCTCTCAAACACACACAGCGCAGTACAGCTTACAGTGAAGGAAAACATGAACACTTTATGACTTAAAATTATGAATATAAATTTAAGGAGATCTAAAGATAAGAAAGATTATTAAAGCATCTTACTATGCATAAAGGTCAATGCATACTTATGATTTTAAAGTACACTGGAAAAATGATTTAATGGATACAACTTTTTTTTAAGGTAAGTGGTTTGAAACAATTGATTTGGGCTGAAAATTAAATTTAGCAGTAGTAATTAAATTCAACTTCATTTGTTTATTTAAATTCAGCCCATATAAATTGTTTGCTACCATGGCACGTACCTTTAAAAAAATCCAGTGAATGTTTTTTTTTTTCAATGTTCATAACAATAAATATGTGTATTACCAATGTTGCTTTACTTTAATTGTTTGTTTTATTGAATTTTGTATATAAAATTCAGTTTAAATGCTTTTCACTGCCATTTGAGGATAAGCAATATACTCACAACCAATTCATCAAATAAATCAATATGCCTGGAAAACCATATGGGAGTTTGGCTTGACCTTAATCACTACACTGTCTTAAAACTACTTTGTTTTGCAAATAGTTAGCATCGAATATAAATATGCTGATTTTTATGAGCATCAACAACAGTACTTACAGTGCTTAGTATAAATACTCCGCTCACAAATCTCTCTTTTAAATTCATGATTTTAATAGGAAGCTATACAATAGGATATTTGTGCATAGATTAGTCAGTACCGAAGCTAAATCTGGAGCTAATCTAACAAAATAACTTACGATGACAGGCCAAAAATGCAAATTTATGTTATAGAAAAATATTAAATACACAATATTAAAAGAGAAAAAATTAAGAAAAGCAAAAAAATTGGAAAAAAAAATTGCTAAAAGTTTGTAGGTTGTAATTTTTGTTGCTATGTTTAGCTTGAATTTAATTGTATTATCTCTATTTCTAAATATGTTTGGTGACTAAAATATTATTTTCATAAATATGTCGGTTTAATAAATATTTTTTGTTTAAATGCACCAAAATATATTGCCTATATTCACTGAGAAATAGAGAAAAACATTCATCAAAATGGGATGTACTCAACTATGCTGAGCACTGTACATGCAATTTTTGATTTAGATAAACTCAACATAACCGGTTTAATGCACCTTTACCACCATTGCTTCATGTAGCCTATATATAGTCATAAGCAAATATTAAAAATAAATAAATAAATAAATCATAAACCATTTGACTTCCTTATTTTAAAAATAAGACGATAACCCTTACCACACATTCATTCCCTTGAACTTTTATTGTAGCACGATTGCCTAATATTGAACAACCCTGACCCACACCCAAAGCTCTATAGTCCATCTCTGTACACAGTGGTGTAGCCTTACCAGCAGATGGTGCCTCCTTCTCTCCTGGGACAGCAAGAGACCACAGTAGGCATATGTGCTCTCATGGGTAAAATGTGACTCCACTGTGTACATGGTGGCCTGGCTCAGCTAATGACAGTCTCTGGAGAGGCTATATATCAGTGAGAATGAACTGTATTGGAAAATCCTTCAATAAAACATTTTGGCAGGAACTTCTCCTCGCCATCTTTCCACAGAAGATGAAACACGTCAGGACGTTTGGTGGGATTCCATTTTGCACCCATCTACAGCAACTTTCATAACCTTCAAGCGACGTTTGTCATGGTGTCCCCAACTAAACACATTCAGCTCTAGCTGAGCCGAAACACTGTCCAGATGTGGTCACTCAAGTCACCCTAAGCTAAACTACTCGCTTCGCCTTTCAGTCATAAGTCAAACAACACTCTATTCCACCACATAATTCCCCGCACTACATTAAACAGCTCAGCCGCTATTGTAAACCCTAAAGTCAGTGGCATGGAGGAAAGCTTGGTTGGAGAGAAGTCCCATGCAGTCCTCCAATGGAAACAATTTTGAGTGCTTAGTTTGTTCTATGTGGAGCTCAACAAGACAAATATGGCAGTAAAATCCCTTATTAACAGCGAGTTTAATAGGAACAGAGAGACTGGGGTTGACGCCAGGGTCAAAACCTCTTGAAACAATGATGCTATGGGCTAACACAAATTTGAAAAACAAAAAGACTTTCTCTTTCATTTTAGCATAAAATTTGTCCAAAGTTCATACAGAAAGTCCTGTCTTGAAGATGATTTCTTTAATCCCTGCAAAAAACATGTAATGCGGATAATGAATTGGAATACAGTACTACTGTATATCTCTTCATTGTGTTTCCATCCATTGTGAAGCCACCGTCTTATATTTTAAAAGGGTGATATATGAAGTGGTTATTTATTATTTTTTTTTTGTTCAATACATGTATTTTTTGGGAATTTCATTTATTCATTTATTTATTTTCTTGTCGGCTTAGTCCCTTTATTAATCCGGGGTCACCACAGCGAAATGAACCGCCAACTTATCCAGCACGTTTTTATGCAGCAGATGCACTTCCAACTGCAACCCATCTGTGGGAAACATCCACACATGCATAGCCTACCCAATTCACCTGTACCGCATGTCTTTGGACTGTGGAGGAAACCAGAACACCTGGAGGAAACCCACGCAAATGCAGGGAGAACATGCAAACTCCACACAGAAACATCAACTGAGCCGAGGTTCAAACCAACGACCCAGCGACCTTCTTGCTGTGAGGCAACAGCACTACCTTCTGCGCCACTGCTCCACCCGAAATCTTCAATATCCAACATAGAAACATGATTTCTGAAAACTACTGACATCGTCACTTTTAGTAATTTTCCTAAATCATGTCTTTTGCAATCGTACACTTCAATGCATATTAAACATACTGTAACACATGATGTCTCTAAAAATGTTATCTGTTTTTTGTAAATAAACTCTTTATATACAGTTGAAGTCAGAATTATTAGCCCCTTTGATTTTTTTTCTTTTTTAAATATTTCCCAAATTATGTTTAACAGAGCAAGGAAATTTTTACAGTATGTCTAATTATATTTTTTCTTCTTGAGAAAGTCATATTTGTTTTATTTCAGCTAGAATAAAAGCACTTTTAATTTTTTTAATTTTAAGGACAACATTATTAGCCACTTTAAGCTACAATTTTTTCCCGATAGTCTACAGAACAAACCATCGTTATACAATAACTTGCCTAATTACCCTAACCCGCCTAGTTAACCTAATTAAACTAGTTAGGCCTTTAAACGTCACTTTAAGCTGTATAGAAGTGTCTTGAAAAAGATCTTAAATATTATATTATATACTGTCACCATGGCAAAGATAAAATAAATCAGTTATAAGAAAAAAGTTGTTAAAACTATTATATTTACAAATGTGTTGAAAAAAAAATCTCTCCGTTAAACAGAAACTGGGAAAAAAATAAACAGGAGGGCTAATGATACATAATTCTGACTACAACTATATATATATATATATATATATATATATATATATATATATATATATATATATATATATATATATCCTGCTGCTGCCTGTAAGAGGAGTCTGGAGTTTTTGAGCAGTCTGTATAGACTGCAGAATTATTAAATATTTGTCTCTCATATACTGTATTGTGCCATTTTTACATCTCTTCATTAACTGTACAGACCACCTGCAGATCAGCTACTGGCATCTGAAACAGCTGATTAAGTGTTGTAGGAATCGCCACTGTAGGACTTATTTTTATGTTCTTTGTCTTATTTTTGGCATCTACATCAACAATTCATCCAAAACTAATATTATTTGTGCAGTTTACTCATTCTCCCATTCTCTAGACGTTTTTTGTCTAAACCTCCTCTGCATTTCCACCTGCAGCACTGAGACTGAGAATGATTGTGTGCTGAAGTCTCCTCATCCTGTTCTTAGGGGCTATTTTATTCCCTCTCATTTCTTAATCAAAGATGCTGTTGCCAAATTGTACACTACATATTGCTGCTCTTAGTACTAGTGCAGTAAACTTTTTCAAAGATTGTTAATTTTTGTTGCCATTTCTTTGTTATTTTCTTTATGTTTGTACAATTTCCATCCATACTCAAAGCATTGACCACCTTCTTAATCAACTTTCTGTTCTGATTTCAAGCCAAGACAAATAACTTAGAAAGCATCAATCAGAGGCCACATTTTCATGATGTTATCATGTAGACTTCTTACAAAGTATTTCACAGAACATTAAAAAAAAAAAAAATACAAGGCACTAAATTATTATACAAAATCTTCACCCATTTTCATCAACCCTATCAAATACAAATGACAAAATATTAATTGACCTGCCTAGTTAACCTAATTAGTGAAACCTTTAAATGTCACTTTAAGCTGTACAGAAGTGTCTTAAAAATGTGTACTCAAATATTCTTTACTGTCATCATAGCAAAGATAAAATAAATCAGTTATTAGTAATTAAAGAGTTATTAGAGTTATTAAAAATATTATGTTTAGAAATGTGTTGAAACAATCTGCTCTCTGTTAAACAGAAATTGGGAAAAAATAAACAGGGGGCTAATAATTCAGGGGGGCTAATAATTCTGACTTCAACTGTATATACATTTCTAAAAAAAATGTAATACCCTAAATAAATAAAATATATTTAATACCCTTTTAAAATATTAAGAGGTTGAATAATCATTGTACGGAGATGATGGCAATTTTACTGGCCATATTCCCTATCAAACATTGTTTACTTCACTAAGTCAGTTTAAGAGATGATCGGATTGGTCTAATTGATGGAAAATTTGCAAATAAATGTCATGCTCCTTTGTAAAAGTATTCTGTCGTATTTTAAAAATACAAAATACAGTATTTTATTTTGATACTTGAGTTATTTGTTAAATATAGGTATATATTTAAAAAAAATAAATAAATTAAATACATTTCAATGTATTTTTGTCCATCCCAGATTATATGTATATACAGTATGTGAGTATG